AGGAGGAGGAGGAGGGGCAAGACGCGCCAATTGAGAATGGACTCTGGTCAGCACGAAGTGCTGATGCCGACGCTGCTGGGCACCGGAAGGGGGGAGGCAAGAAGCAAAGGCGAGGCGGCGGGGTCCGACGACGGAAGAGGAGGAGCAGGGCGAGGGGGTACGCCCGCAGCTTCGAGGTAGAGTACACGGACGGAGGAGGAGGAGGAGGAGGAGGAGGAGGAGGAGGAGGAAATGGCGTGGGGGTGGAGGAGGGGAGGAGGAGGAGGAGGAGGAGGAGGAGGAGGAGGAGGAGGAGGAGGAGGAGGAGGAGGAGGAGGAGGAGGAGGAGGAGGGGGAGGGGGGGGGGAGGAGGAGCGGAGGAGGAGGAGGAGGAGGAGGAGGAGGAGGAGGAGGAGGAGGAGGAGGAATGGGTGGACGAGGGGAGGAGGAGGAGGGAGGAGGAGGAGGAGGAGGAGGAGGAGGAGGGGCTGGAAAGGCAGCAACAGCCGCATCAGCTGGATGGGGATGGGGGCGGGTGGGGTGGCGCGGGCGGGCGGGCGGGTGGGTGGGTGGGTGAAGTGCAGGAGGAGGATGACAAGGACGAGGACGACGATGGCGAGGCGGCGCCCACGGCGAAGCGCACGCGGGCACGGCAGGGGGGGGGGGGCGGGCTCGCCAAGGGGCGCGGGTCCAGGGGACAGCGGCCGGGCCGACACCAGGCTGTTGGGGTCGGGCCGGAAGGCGAACAGGTTCACGCCCTGTAGAGTAGGGAGGAAGAGGAGAAGGAGGCGGACGAGGAGGCGAGAAGGAAAACATATGCGGAGGGGGAGGACGGGGATGAGAGGGTCTCTTCATGTTCTCTTAGACTTTCCTCCATGCATTCCTCATGTGATTCACTCACTGATCCATCAACTTCTCTGCTTCACCCTACCGTCGACACCATTTCCTCCCCCTGTTCTCTCATACTCCTCCCCCCCGTTCTTTTCGCCTCCTCGCTTCCATCTCCTCCCTTCCTCAGTCCTACTCCTCCTCTCATCATCATCATCATCCTTCCTCGCCTCATCTCATTCTCTCCTCCTTCCTTCCTCAGTCCTTCTTTCCTTCCTTCCTTCCTCGCCTCCTCCTCATCCTCATCCTCCGCTTCCATCTCCTTCCTTCCTCAGTCCCTCTTCTTCCGTCGTGCGCACCGGCTCTTCTTCCCGAGGCTCTGTCGGCGCCCAGACACGGCGGTCTCCAGGGCGTCCAACATCCCCAAGATGGCTTCCAAGACGGACCACTGAGATGGCCCAAGATGCCTCCAATACCGTCTAAGGCCCCAAAGAAGCCCCGAGAGCGCTCCGAAAGGACCCACACGAGGGCCCCAAGAGGCAAACATCAATGAGTTTCATGTTTTTGTTTATGTTTTTCATGTTATCCCCTTTTCAAGCTTCCGACTCTCCAAGACGGCACCAGGGGCCCCCAAGATAGCCCCAAGACGGCCCCAGAGGCCCCCGAGAGGGTCCTAAACAGCCCGAGAGAATCCCATAACGGCCAAATTGGCGTCCAAATCAGACCAATTGAGCCCCAAAAGGGGGAATAACAACGACAATTCCAGCCTTCCGCCAGAAGAGGCCCCCAGGAGACCTCAAGAGACTTCCAAGAGGCCGCCAGACGGCCCCCAACAGGCCTTCAAGAGACCGCCAGACGGCCCCCAACAACCCTCGAAACTGCCTCCAACAAGCCCCTGAGAGGGCTCCCACGATGTCCCAACGATCAGCAGCAGCATCATCATCATCATCATCATCATCATCCCACCACCACCACCACCACCACCACCACCATCATCATCATCATCATCATCATCATCATCATCATCATCATCATCATCGTCATCATCATCATCATCATCATCATCAGCATGATCATTATCATCATCACCACCAGCATCATCAGCCATCATCATCATCATCATCATCAGCATCATCATCATCAGCAGCAGCAGCATCAGCATCAGCATCAGCATCAGCATCAGCATCAGCATCAGCGTCAGCATCAGCATCAGCATCAGCATCATCATCATCACCATCACCATCACCATCACCATCACCATCATCATCATCATCACCATCATCATCAGCATCATCATCATCATCATCATTATCAGCATCAGCATCATCATCATGAGCATCACCACCACCACCATCATCATCACCAACATCATCATCAGTATCATCATGATCAGCATCAGCATGATCGTCATCACCATCACCATCACCCATCATCATCATCATCACCACCATCACCCATCACCATCATCATCGTCACCATCATCTGCAGCACCATCACCAGCATCAGCATCAGTACCATCGTCAACATGGTGATTATGACCATCGTGATCACCAACATCATCTTTATCATCATCGTCATCAGCATAGTCACCGTCACCATCATCATCACAGCCATGACCATCGCCATCACCACATCACAGCCAACACCATCACCATCACCATCCACCATCACCATCATCATCGTCGTCATCGTCATCGTCATCGCCATCGTCATCATCATCAGCAGCATCATCATCGTCATCGTCATCGTCATCGTCATCATCATCATCAGCATCAGCATCAGCATCAGCATCAGCATCATCACCATCATCACCATCATCATCATCATCATCATCATCATCATCATCATCATCACCATGATTTTCACCCCTCGCAAGTACGACCCCTGGTGACCCCTCGAAGGAGAGCCGCCGAGCATACTGGGCTGGCACGGTGACGGGACTTGCCGCAGGCACCTGGACAGTAGTGGTCTCCAACGTCATCGGCCACATCGCAGGACATGCCTTCGTGCACGTGAATGCCACAACCGTTGGTCACATCGTCTCCTGCGCCCGACACGCGTGCTGTGTCCAAGCCTGCAAGGTCCCACTGGAGAGTCTGTGTCGTGTCTCCCGTGAGGGTCACGACTCCAATCACATTGAGGTCTCCTTCGTATCCAGGGCAGTAACGGATTCCTCTGCTGACTGAAAACATTGTGGGATCGGCCTGGAGGATCCCACAGGCGATGCGCGCACTGCCCGTGAGCTCGTGCACCACGAAGGGCCTCCCAACGAGCTTCGAGAGTTTCGGCCCCGTCATTACTGTCGTACTGCCCGACGATGTGTTTCCACTTGCGACGTACACGACGTCCACCCAAGTATCCGTGCTGAGATCGCTGCTGCAGTAATGGTCTCCAACGTCATTGGCGACATCGCAGGAAGTTTTTTCGTGCACGTGAATGCCACAGCCATTGGTCACGTCGTCTCGTGCGCCCGACGTGCATCGGGGGTCGATACCCTCCAGGTTCCAGTCGAGGGTCTGCAGTGCAGAATCGTCAGTAGCGGATCTGATTGCTACCGCCCCCGATACACCGGTGTAATCCCCTGTGTAGTCCGGATAGGTCGACAGCGTGCTCAAACCATCCGTCAGCGACGAGCCCGAGAGGATGCCGCAGGGGACGCGACCTTCCCCCGCGAGCTCGTGCACCACAAAGACCCTGCCCTCTACCTCCGACCCTGTCGCCACCGTCGCGCTGCCCGACGACTGCGAGGCACTCGCGCCCGCGACGTGCACGGCGTCCGCCCAGGGACCCGTGGTGAGAGCGCCGCGATACCAGCGGTCTCCAACGGCATCAGCGGCGGCGCAGGGAGTGCCCTCGTGCACGTGGCTGCCGCAGCCGTTCAGACCACGTCTTCTTCTCTGGCGCCCGCCGTGCAGGCGGCGCCGATGATGCCCTCCGGGTAACAGCGCGAGGCTCTGGCTCGACGCGCCGAGGGGTGCCCGCTGCAGCCTGGGAAGGGCACGACGTGCAGCGCGCTTATCACCGGCGTCGCGGTCGCAGCGAGCGCGGCGGCGCCGAGGGGTCTCGACGGCGCAGGCTGCGAGGACGCCGTGGGGCCGGGAGCTGCGGCGAGTAGGGCCAGCGCCCGAGGGCGGTTTGCCTCGAGCGAGAGCCGCCGCGGGACTGGTGGGGTGCTGAATCATCGTTGGAGCTGGGCCTGGCCCTGATCTTACACCCGTAGATGTGCCCGTGCTGATCGGGGAAGCGTAAGACTCGGGTTCGGGGGACTCGGGTTGGTCTGACGGGGCCGTCAGGAAGATGCCGAGACCCACTCTGAGCTTTGACGCGAGCTCCCGCTGCAGACAGCCCACGAGAAGTGGACCTTCAAAATCCATGGCGAGCTCGTCAAAAAGCGTAGGCGAACCCGAGTTCTGGCGTACTCGAGTCGTGCGCCTCCCCAATTGAACAGCGCAAATCTGGGTTGGTCGGCAACCGACACGGAACGCTCAACAGGACTTCCCTCCCATACCCCTCCCTGCCGCTGGCCGCCCCCATCCCTCCCCTCCCCTCCAGGAGGGGGAGGAGAAGGAGGAGGAGGAGGAGGGTGACCAGGAAGAGCAGGATGAGGGGGATGAAGCGGGCCGGAGGAGGAGGCAGCGGGGAGGGAGGCATGGGGGGCAGGTGGGAAGGAGGCAGGGCCAGGGGGGACAGGGAGGAGGACAGGGAGGCGGCTCCCCGGGCCTTGGGGTCCAACAGCGGCGCCGACGGCGCGCGGTGGCACCACACGTCGCCGTACCCGGCGCCCTCCGAGGCGGCGGACGCCTCCGAGGGATCCGGGTCGAACACCGGCGCCGACGAGGGCCGAGCCGGCACCTTCCCCAGCGCGGCGGGCGGGGGGGGGCCTCGCCTCCCTGCCTGCTGCCAGTCCTCCTCCTCCTCCTCCTCCTCCTCCTCCTCTTCCTCCTCCTCCTGCACCTCCTCCTCCTCCTGCACCTCCTCCTCATCCTCCTCCTCCTGCTCCTCCTCCTCCTCCTCCCTCCTCCTCCTCTCCTCCTCCATCATTCATCATCATCATCATCATCATCATCATCATCATCATCAGCATCATCATCATCAGCATCAGCATCAGCATCAGCATCATCATCAGCATCAGCATCAGTATCATCATCATCATCATCATCATCATCATCATCATCATCATCATCATCATCATCATCATCATCATCATCATCATCATCATCATCATCATCATCATCATCATCATCATCATCATCAGCATCAGCATCAGCATCAGCATCAGCATCATCATCATCATCATCATCATCACCATCATCACCATCATCATCACCATCATCATCACCATCATCATCATCAGCATCATTATCATCCTCATCATCATCATCCTCATCCTCATCCTCATCATCATCCTCCTCATCATCAGCAGCATCATCATCATCACTACCACCACCATCATCATCACCATCGTCATCATAATCATAATCACAGTCATCATCGTCATCGTCATCACCATCACCCATCAACATCATGGTCCTCATCATTACCACTAGCACCATCACCACCACTACAACCGCCACCATCACCATCACCATCACCATCGCCATCGCTATCGCCATCGCCATCACCAGCACCAGCACACTTCACTGCTGTCGCCCTGGCCACTGACTACCCTCCTGGGCGCCTCCAACATGGACCAGGGGTCCGCGGTGCTCAGGTGCGCGGGCTCCCCAGGCTCGAACGTCGGATGCCCGCTCAGGAGCAGCCCGTCGGGCATCTGGACGGGAGGGGAGGCTGGGCAGAACGAGGCCAGGAGTGGCACAACACCGGGGCGGCCTGCATCCTGCCTCCCCCCAACCCCCTGCCCCCCATGTCATCCTGTCCTGCTTCTCCTCCTCCTTCCTCCTCCTCCTCCTCCTGCTTCTCCTCTTCCTCCTCCTCCTTCCTCCTCCTCCTCCTTCCTCCTCCTCCTCCTCCTCCTCCTCCTCCTCCTCCTCCTGCTTCTCCTCTTCCTCCTCCTCCACCCCATCCCCCTCGTCCTCATAGCACAGAGGGTCGGCGGCACCGGCCGCGAGGCCTCCCCAATGAGATCGGGACAGGTCGGGGGGGCTCCGGGCTCCGGCGGCTCTGCACGATGTCTCGGGTGCCGCGGCCACTCCACAGCGTGCCCGAGCGCTCCAAGAGCGCCCTGGGAAGCTCCGAGAGCGATGTGTCCCGATCTTAGGTCAAGGAGGAGGAGGATGAGGAGGAGGAGGAGGAGAAGGACGAGGAGGAGGAGGAGGAGGAGGCTGCCTGGCGCTGGGAGGCAAACTCCTGGGAGGTCTTCGTGGGGAACGCTGCAGGGCTGCTCGGCCCGATGGCAACCGAGCAGGCACCAGAAGGAGCGCCGAACAAGGAACGGAACCCTTCTCTGGCCCGAAGGAAGGGGAGGAGGAGGGGGAGGACGAGGAGGACGAGGAGGGGGAGGAGGAGGGGGAGGAGGAGGAGGAGGAGGAGGAGGAGGAGGAGGAGGAGGAGGAGGAGGAGATGCACCAGGAGCGGAGAGACAACCGAAAGGCCAGCGGAGCGGAGAGACGAGAGCGGAGGGACAGCCGACAGGTCCCAAGAGGTCCGCCTGGAACAGAAACCGAAGCCCCGAAAGAACCGCCTCCGAGAGGCTTCTGGGACGGGAGGCCTCCCCAAGAGATCCCCGCGAGCACTCCAGATGCCTCTGACCAACGACCCAGGCATGGTGGCGGGGCGCGCCGAAGGCCACTGGAGATCCGATGGAAAGACCCACTTACCGTCAAGTCGGGCACGTCCCTGTGCAGGAGGAATATTATACTATCATGTTGAATAGCATTTGCTAATTGTTTAGTACTTTCTACTAGTATCACTCTATTTGTTATAGTACTCTGGCGACGTTGTTTCTAGTATTCTTTGCTATTCTTGAATATTTTCTGACTATTTTTCTAATTTTTCATCCAAAATCCGCCTGTAGGAGGACATGCCCGACCTAAACTTACCGAAAAACTGCGCAAGCCCCACCCCCGGCCAACCCCCACTCCAACCCCGAGCAAGCCTCCCGGCCAACCCCTCCAGCCCACCTTTTCGGGGTAATAATTACCCCGACCGAATCAGGGCAATGCTAAATCAGGGCAATGGCGCGGCGACGACCGCGTTTGTCTCCACCAATCAATAATTAAAAAAAATGCAAAACAAATTTGTCGAGGCCCTGGTTTTGTTTCCTGGTGGGGGAGGGACCAGAGTAATTCCTTCCACGAGACACAGCAAGAATCCAATCATATCCGCTGGTGGCATACGGCAGGTTCGTGTCGTGCCGACTTCAACGCCGGCTCCTGACGCCGCGGGGATCGTTCCACCTTGAGCGATCGGCCCTTTCCGAAACGTCACCACCTTCAACATCGACCAATTCTGGGTCGCCGGCGGCGTCCACCGTTGAACGTAAGTCGGGCGTGTCCCCCTACAGGGGGCTCTTCGACGAACAAAAAAAAATGCCCCAAAATATTCCAAAAAGGTCGAAAAGTACCCAAAAAATAGTCCCCAGACTATGTCTGGACTGTCTTTTGACTACTTTTGGGGGTGTTTTTTAAATTCTCCGTCGAAAACTCCCCCTGCAGGGGGACAGGCCCGACTTCACGTTGGAACGCCAGCGGCGGGGCCTCCGCTGGGCGAGACGGCGGGAGCCTGCCGTAATTACGTCTGCGCCGCGCCCCGTTTTTTTCCGAGCGCCGCCGCCGAGGCGCAGGCCGCTGCCACGCCACGCCGAAGCCGCGCCGAGCCCGCGCCGAGCCCGCACCGAGGAGCGAACCCACGCCTGGTCGACGCCAGCGCTGGCTTTTTCAACACCGCGGGGACCCCTCCTCCTCCTGCTCCTCCTCCTCCTCCTCCCCCTCCTCCTCCTCCTCCTCCTCCTTCCTCTCCTCCTCCTCCTACCCCTCCTCCTCCTCCTCCTCCTCCTCCTCCTCCTCCCTCTCCTATCCCACCCCTTCCCCTTGATAGATCGGCCGTCTCCGCGATCGGCCGTCTCCGAGAAGCGTCCGATCGTGCAGCATCGACCGTCTCTGGGTCGCCGGCGGCGCTCGCGGTTCCAGGCCGGCGGCGCCGACTCCGCTGGTCAACCCTTGACCTCCTCCTTCCTCGCCGACCGCCCAGAAGGTATGGAAGGTGTGTGTGGAGTGTTTTTCCAGGTGAATGTATCGTAGTTCTTCTGGGCTCCGATGCACGATTGGAGTTTCACTAGATAGGATGTCGTATTCTCGAGTTCTCGTATATATGTATACAGGGCAGGTTTTAAAACATAGGAATTCTGATACATGGGATGTTTAATGCATTATTAATGTATGAATAAATGTATGGATGAACTCATCGTTGTTTGGGATACTAAATCCCTGCATGTTTAATACATGATCCGCACGCGGAACATGTATTGAAAACGGCACTGTAGTTATATCTATGCTAACACGACGTCGTGTCAACATGACGTGAACCTACAGTACTGGAGAAGGTCGTAGCTTGCAGGACAGACGCAACGAGCGGAGAGCGAGCGGCGAGCCCCGCCGGGACCCCGGCAGCTCGGGCCGGAGGGGGCAGGAGACGTCCCCCCGAGGCTCGACCACGCAGGAGGCCAGGAGGGTCTTCCTTGCTTGCTTGCTTGCTTGCTTGCTTGCGGAGGAGGAGGAGGAGGAGGAGGGGAGGAGGAGGAG